CATTTTAATTTTCTGATATTCCTCTCGAGGGTGCTGCTACTAATGTGACTCAACTTTAATAACTTCTGGTCCCTGTGTCTCTCCATTCTATACTTCAAATTCCTAGGAGGAGACAAAAATGGCCTCAAAGGTCTGGATCCTGATCATCAGCTAATGTCAAGGAGGCTGGTCACTTGGTGAAAATACAGCTGCTAGGTTGTTTCCCAGAAGAGGGAGTGTTGTTGTGAGTCTTACAACCACCTCAAGAGGGCTCTCCCGAGCCCCACCCCTGTGCTGGCACATTCACATTCTACCCTATAGTGCTCTTCTCACATGATTCACTTTCCACGTCCAACTTTCCGTCTCCCCCAGCAGAAGATCCCAAAGACATAACCAGCTGCTGTAGGCAGTGGGGTGTCCTGTGGCCACTTTCTGAAAATTTCCCATCACTCTTCCGTTTCCATCCTGATCCCATCTTGATAGTCTATCTGCAACCTTTAGAATAAATGGTAAAATTTTCCATGATCAACAGTCCTACACAAACAGAGCTCTATTAAATAATCTTAGATGAGCCCTGGCTGGTTTGGCTCAGCAGTTAGAGCGTCGGTCTGCTGTCCCGAGAGACCCAGGTTTGGTTCCCACTAAGAGCATGTACCACGGTTGCAGTTTGTCCCCGGCCCTGGTTGGGTTGTGTGGGTGGCAGCCACTCGATGTGTCCCTTTCATGTCGATGTTTCTCTCTCTCTCCCTCCTACTCTATCTGAGCCAAAAGTGGAAAAATGTCCTCAGGTGCGGATTAAAAAAAAAAGAAAAAGAAAACCTGGCATATATTATAGTTTAGCATTAGGAAGAAAAATATAGGGGGAAGATGCCATATTTATTTTGCAAATACTTTTGGGGCTTCCTCCAATATCCAGTCCAAGTTCTTCTGGCCTTAAGCAAAGCATCTCAACAGGCAGCGTTTTTGCCAGGTGAGATGAACAAAAACTTCAGTCATGAGGAGCCAGAGCATTAAGGTCTGCCTGTGGGGAGTTGCACTGGATTTTCATTAACCTCTCCCTCTACTCATGCTGATCTGAAAAAGTCTTCCAGGCACATCTGGGTTCCATTCATACTGCCTCCAGCCCTCATAGTGACCAGCAACACTTCTCCCGAGAGGTCTCTTCTTCCCTTTCCTGCACCCAATGTTTCACCTAACTTTAAGACCAATGTTCTGCCCGGCTGGTGTGGCTGAGTGGTTGAGCACTGATTCATGCACTAAGAGGTTACCAGTTCAATTCCCGGTCAGGGCACATGCCCAGGTTGTGGGCCAGATCCCCGGTGGAGGGCATGCAGGAGGCAGTCACTTGATGTTCTCTCTCATTGATGTTTCGATCTCTCTCCCTCTCCCTTCCTCTCTCTCTAAAATCAATAAAGGAAAAAAAAAAAAAAAAAAAAAGACCATGGTGCCCTGGTTAGTTTGGTTCAGCAGTTGGAGCGTCGGCCTGCGGACCAGAGAGTCCCGGGTTCGGTTTCCGCTAGGGGCATGTACCAAATAAATAAGTAAATAAATAAATAAATAAATAAAATGAAAGTAGCAAATTATATAAGTTTTGGGGGAGCTTTTCTGAACTCCACCATTGGAGTTCCCCATCAGTGGGTCTGAGATGGGGTTGAAGTGTTTGCAAAGCGTGGACTTCCTTCAAGTCTCAGTTCCTCCATCTGTGACATGGGGGTGCCAATGGAAGCAACCCCGCAGGCTTGGGAGGCTTCGGTGAGATGACAAGCATGAAGCACAGGCACAGGTCCTGTTGTACAATCGTGTGTTTAATAAAGGTCAGGTGTTGTTATTGAGGGGAGGCCCTCCTTTGCAACCTTGCAGCTCCCATTACTGAAATGCACACTTCAGTAAAACTATCATAGGCCATAATTACCCTTTGCTTCATACTGAAAACTCCAAGTGCTAGCGTGGGAAAAACCAGATTATATTGTCACATATAATTTCCACTAATTAAATTTCTTCTCGTAACTGTGGTAAGAGTTCTTTACCTTACATTCCTAATTGGGGTGCCTCCCAAAGGGAGTGTGGGACTATACAGCTTGAAATACTTCAATAAAATTTTAACTTGGGAAAACAAGATTGCAAATGCATCAGGTCAGCATGTGGGAAATGGTGTCTCCTTCACTGCAGGAGGAAGTGTAAACAGGTATATTCATTTTGGAGGACAATTTGGCAATATCTTCCAACTCTACAGTAAACCCATCCCTTGTATTTCCATGTTTAGGCATCTCTTCAGGGGGAAATACTGACATACATAAACAAAGAAGCACATTCAAAGTATATAATGCATACAACAGCGAATTGTTTCTGATACAGAAACCACCTCAATGGTCAACAATTGAAATTTGTTAAATAAATTATGAACCACTTATATAATGGAATGTTAGATAGTGGTTGCTTTAAAGGGGCGGGACGGGGGAAAGATGCTAACATGGAAATCTCTCCAAGACATAATGCTAAGTGAATAAAGAAAAAAAATGTGTATAACTTCATTTCTACAGAAAAGAAACATATTTGTATATACGCATATGTGTATATGTGAAAGCACAGGAAAGGGCTTAGAAAAATACACAGCAAAGATGTAAAAAAATGAAAAGAAAAAATAACTTTTTAAAGCCCTGGCCAGTTTCGCTCAGTGGTTAGAACGTTGGCCTGTGGACTGAAGGGTCTTGGGTTCGGTTCCTGGTCAAGGGCACAAACCTGGGTTACAGGTTTGATCCCCAGCCCCAGAGAGTGTCGTGCAGGAGGCAGCCAATCGATGTGTCTCTCTCATGTTGATGTTTCTCTCTCTCCCTTCCACTCTATCTAGAAAGCAATGGAAAAATATCCTTGGGCGGGGAGGATTAAAAAACAAACAAAAACTTTTAAAGGTTATGTTAACTAAGTGATGGCAGCCATGTCTAAGTACTTTTAGAGAGGGATCAAGGACTCCTGCCCTAGCCACAGTGCTCTGGAGGGCTCTCCTGCAAGTCCTCTGGGGCTGTCCACTTTGGCCCCACTTCCTCGCCAAGGCCGTGCACTCAGCAGTCTGGCATCCGGTTGCCGCCCTGGATTTGGATTTGGGCTGCTCTTTGTTGTGCTCTGTGCTGCTCTGAGCCATTAATCTCCACCCTGTACTGAGAGGTCATGTCCTCTTCAGGTAGTCTGGTCCCTCCTTCAGACTGAGGGGGTCCTGAGTGCTTGTACCCTTTGAACCTCTAAAGATTCTGAGATGCTGAGTGTGAGCTACCTGGGGTGGCCGGTCTGAGCCCTCCTCTCTTGGCTCGCTTAGTGTTTCTCTGCTCTTAGAGTAACTTATCCAGGCCTCCCCATCGGCGCTCATGAGGTGCTTGTCCCAGATCTGACCACCAAGGACGAAGTAGGCTTTCTCTTCATTCTCATGGTCACTGGAGTTTTACTTCTATACCCCCTTCTCTGAAATTCTGTAACTGAGATAAGAAAGGGGGCAGGCTTCTTACTCAGGCCCTTGTGCAGCATTTAGGATTCTTTTTCTGTAGTTCAGCTCCTCATACCTCGCCCACACAGGCCCCTCCCCAGGAACCGCTCATGGAGCAGGTTAGGCTCAGAGACCACCAACCATCAAGATGGACCCTGTCTCTCAACCTCCAAGGGCCCTGCCAGCTTGTAATCTTTGAACAATCATCTCCTTGGATGAGTGACCTTACTACCTATATCACTGCCTTTGTGATTAAAGGGGTTGGCCGTCATTCTGAAAGGGGCAGGAAAGAATAATAGACTAGAGAACTGATCATAGGGGCATACTAGCTGCAGTGATAAGAAATGTGAATCATCCTCTGCAGTGTTAATCATGGGTGCTCTGTTCTGATTAGAGAAAAGCCCACTCTAACTGGGCTGGGAGGTGTGTGCCTTGGGGGCTTACCTTGGGATGCTGTCCATTCTCCTAACCTGAGCACAAGGGGGCTACCTGACCTCATGGAAAGAGGAACAACCTGACTATTGGAACACTGGACTCCTAACTGCCACTCACTGGCCACCAGCCCCTGCAGCCCCGGCCCATATTCTTCCCCTTTGCTTGTAACCATTTTACCCCCTTTTTTTTTCCTTTTTGCTCAACTGCCCTTTCTTATGTAGTCATTGTTTCTCTACCTTTTAAAAGCAGCTGGCGCCCTGGCCGGTTTGGCTCAGTGGTTGGAGCGTCGGCCTGCGGTCCAGAGAGACCCGGGTTCGGTTCCCGCTAAGGGCACCTACCTCGGTTGCAGTTTGTCCCTGGTCCTGGTTGGGCCCTGCGGGAGGCAGCCACTCAAAGTGCCTGTTTCACATCGATGTTTCTCTCTCTCTCTCTTCCTCTCTCTCCTTCTCACTCTATCTGAACAAAAAATGGAAAAATGTCCTCGGGTGAGGATAAAAAATAATAAATAAATAAAAGTAGCTGGCAAGTGAGGGTGGGCAGAGCAGATGTTACGGGATGACCCACTGCTCCCCCATACCGCTGGCAATATTGGAAAACATGCTCATATACGATTCAACCTCATCTCTGCTTAATTGGTTCAAGTAGTGACAGGTGGACTGGTCTCATTTGATGTCTGGCTTCAATTCCGCCCCTACGTACGGATCTCAGCCCTGGGATGGCTCCAGGGCACAACACATTCACCATCTCTCCCAGAAGCACATCAAATCCTCCTGGAACTGCACTTCTAGGAGGCACCAGATGGAATAGTACCTAGCTTTGGAGTTCCCTGAGATTCTAAATTACACAGAGGACATTCTTTGGCCACTGTTTCTAAAGACAACAGGGAAACCAGCGCCAAGTTGTGATGCAGCAGTGAACACAGGAGCCGGAACCCTCCTGTTCGGCATTTGCATCTCCAGGAAAACACATCCCTAATTAGAGAGAAACTGGTTGTGAAACAGAACAAGGAAACTGGGTCATGTCAAACTCTTCCTGCTCTGCTGCCCCCGCCCCCACTCCTGAGGGTATAAATTGGGGCTGGGCTCTGTGCGCATTCACATCAAAGGCCAACATGAAGACAGGTTCAGTGTTTGTTCTAGTGGTTTTCGTCATCGTGGCGATGGAGATGGCCTTCGCTCGGATACCTATTGTCAAAGGTGAGGGTGCTGAGGGGGGTCCTACCTGACAGCAGAGAAGGCTCAGAGCCCAGCTGCAGACCTGGGGACGGTTTGGAACAGAAACAGGCTGCAGAGTGAAGATTTGGCCTTGATCAGACCCACTTTCTTTGACCTTCAGGAATGATCACCCTGCATTTCCTATTCTTCTTTTTTAAATCCTCACCTGAGGATATGCGTATTGATTTTAGAGAGAGAGACAGGGTGAGGGGAGAGAGAGAGAGAAACATCGATGGGAGAGACAACACTGATTGGTTGCCTTCCATACGTGCCCTAAACAGGGATCAAACCTGCCACCCAGGTATGTTCTCTGGCAGGGAATCGAACCTGCAACATTTTGGTAGATGGGGCAATGCTCCAACCACCTGGGCCACGCCGGCCAGGGCCCCATTCTTCCTATTAGATCAGGTTGGGTCTGATTAGAAGTTGAGTTTCTCTGTAGATGTGCCTTGAATGTGGGGCTCCAACAGGTGTAGCTCGGGGTGAACATGGGGGTGGGGTGTGAGGTGGAGAGACTGCTGTCTGTGATCAGAGATTTTTCTACTATCTTCTCCTAAGGTGGGAAGAAGAGGGTTATGACAGTGCAGGTTTCTTGCCTGTTGGAACTGTGCAGCCTTCGGAGCAGGGAGAACATTCTCCCAGGGGCCGGAGTGTGAAAAGGGGGGCTGAAGTGTGAGTGGGGCTGCTGAGGCTGAGGGAGGGCTCCAGGAGCACAAGGGAAGGAAGGGAAGACATGGGAGTCCTGCCAGTGGTGAGGCCCGCTGACATCTCACACCAGTTTTCACACCTGTTTAGTGACAGTTCCAGACTCCATAACAATCATTTTATCTTTCAGGGCGACCAAGACCTGGAGCCTGCCCTGAGGTGCCCAGAGGAATGGCTGGGACTTGTGCTGAACAATGCTTTGGAGACGACTCATGTCCCAAGGGAATGAAATGCTGCAGCAATGGGTGTGGTCATGTCTGCAAAGTTGCTGTCCCTAAAGTGAGTATAAATCAGTCAAGAGCTGTCCAAGGGTGTAAACTCCCCAGTAGACTTTCCTGGGGCAGATGGATGCTCACACACCCACTGCACACAGGAGTCTGGGTAACTCCCAGAGAAAGAGGCTGGAAGTGAATGGCAGAAGGACACCTGGCTGCATTATTTAACACCCTCTCCTTGAAGAGAAGCCCTATGCCTATCCCAGGGGATCTCTCGGTTGAGACAAGTAACCGTGGTCCTAGATTCAGAGGGTTATTAACCCAGGGTTTCTCACCCTCCTTCCTCTGCCCCACCAAGGGGGCTTAACTCTTCCTGGAAAATGGGTGATCATGGGAGGAGGAGGGGAAGGAAAGAGCATCCCACCTATTGAGTATCTCCTGTGTCAGTCAGGCGTTGTTCTGAAGTTGAGATAAAAAGGTAAATACAACGGGGTCAGGGAGACAGAACTATGTAAGTAATTACAACCCAGGGTGACCACAGCTTCGTACAGGTTTCTACTAAGGTCTGTGGAAGTGCAGGGAAGAGTTATTGGCTTTGCCTGGGTGGCTGGATTGGTGGGGGTTGGGAAGGTTGTCAGAGAGTAGAGAACATTCAAGGGAGAGGTTTAAAAAGACATAAAGTTTGCCGGAGTAAGGAAGGACAGTTCAGCTGGTGGGAGGATTTGGGTCCTCCACTGGAGATGGGAAAGTGATTGTGGTAGGTAGAAGTTGCACAACATCTCAGTATCTCAGTAGAGGATCATCCAAGCCAGGGTCCAAAGAGGAATGAGCTTCCAGCCAAAGAGTGTGGTGGGCTGCTGGAGGTTTCTGAGCAGGGGAAATGTCATGATCGAATTTTTATTTTAGAAAAGCGGCTTTGGTGGCCATGTTAATGATGGATGGGGTGTTTATTAAGCATGCCTAGAGACCAGCTCCAGAATATTTCTCATGAATCCATGATGCTTGGCATAACAAGACTTCCATAAACCATTCCTGGCTATTATCTATCCCTGGACTTGCAGCCCTAGAAGATGAAGATCTAAAGTGGTGGAGTGACAACTTCTAAATAGCTTGTATCCAAAATAAACCTTATCTGTGACATTATTGAGGCTGTGTCATTCTTCCAATTTAGGCATTCGAGTGGACCCTCTGTGGATGAGCAGAACCATTGGTGTGCCCTATAATGAGCCCATGAATACAAGGCACTCAGGATAGATCAGAGGCACAGTCCTTCCAGCTAGTTTTTTTCCTCCTTCCATGTCCATGTCTCTAAACAGGGCAAGGGGAGGATAATATTTTCTCAAGCATTCTGTAAATATGATTTTGGTCAAGCAAAAATTAAATGACATAGCAAGCCTATTTGAACCGCCTTTATTAGGGCAAGACTCAGAAGGAGCAGGAGCAGAAGCAAGTGTGGGGATACCCTATTCTAAGGCAACACACCTACATCTAGCAGGACCAGATGCCTAACTCTAGGAGAGCAACCCTGGCCCTTGGGATGTGGCATAGGCTGGGAAGTACCAGCTCCTGCCCTGAAGTGACTAGGAGTTAGGATTCAGTTAGGACATAGGCTCTGTGGGTGGAGTCTTTCATTCAGAGTGTTCCTGGGGCAGAGGATAACCCAAGTCTCCCAAAGAAGCCCCGACAGAAACGATGGTCTAGGCTGATGGCTATAAGCTCCAACTCCCAGGGCTCTTCGTTCACTTTTCCTCCTCAATTCCCCCACTTAGGCTGCTAAGATTCGTCTCCCATATGTGTTTGCCCCTGTCCCTCACACTGCTGTTGCTTCCCATGTAGCACATCCTCCCCCCCCCCCCCCGCCCCACCCAAGAATATTTTTCCATTGATTTTCAGATAGAGTGGGAGGGAGAGAGAGAGAAACATCAATGTGATTGAGACACATCAATTGGTTGCCTCCTGCACAACCCTGACCAGGGCTGGAGACAAACCATAATTGAGACACATGCCCTTAGCTGGAATCAAACTCACGACTCTTTGATCCGCGGGCCAACACTCTAACCATTCACTGAGCCAAACCAGCAAGGACTTCTGATGTTATTTTTCAGACAGATAGAATAATATGGGAACTTCCACATAGTCTGCTTCTGTTTGTCTGATTAATATGAAGCAAAAGAAGCTAACAGCACTCTGATGTTCATAAACATAGGAGGTTCCAAGCAGCTTTGTTGTTTTTGCCCTGTTAATAAGAGACCTTGAGGGTTTTTTGTTAATGCACCAAGAAGTCACATATGAGAGTTTAAAAAACAAAACAAAACATTAATACTATAGAACTAAAACAATTTTAAATATCATATGATGAATGATGTGGTTGCCAAAGCCAGGGGTTCTTGAGGCTGTAAACACTTCATATTGGTCAGATTAGAAATAATACTGAAATTACAACAAAAGAAATTGAAGATGTAATTAAGAAACTCCCAGCAAACAAAAGTCCACGCCCAGACAGCTTCATGGGGGAGTTTTACTGAACATTCAAAGAAGATCTAATACCCATTCTCCTCAAACTATTGCAAAAAATCCAAGAAGATGGAACACTTCCAAACTCATTTTATGAGGCCAGCATAATCCTAATTCCAAAATCAGAAAAAGACACTACAAAGAAAAAGAATTATAGGCCAATATCCCTGATGAACACAGATGCCAAAATCCTTAACAAAATACTAGCAAATTGGATCCAGCAATACATCAAAAAAATTATTCATCATGACCAAGTGGGTTTCATCCCAGGTATGCAAGGATGGTACAATATTTGCAAATCAATAAATGTAAGACAGCACATAAACAAAATGAAAGATAAAAACCATATGATCATATCAATAGATGCTGAAAAAGCATTAGACAAAATCCAGCACCATTTCTGATAAAAACACTCAGCAACGTGAGAATAGAGGGATCATATCTCAACATAATAAAGGCCATATATGAAAAACCTACAGCCAACATCATACTCAATGGGCAAAAAATAAAAGCATTTCCCTTAAGAACAAGAACAAGACAGGGATGCCCACTTTTGCCACTCTTATTTAACATAGTACAGGAAATCTTACCCACAGCAATTAGACATGAAGAAAAAATAAAGTGGATCCAAATTGGAAAGGAGGAAGTGAAATTGTCATTATTTGCAGATGACATGTTATTGTACATAGAAAACCTTAAAGATTCCATCAAAAATCTGCTAGACTTAATAAATAAATTTGGCAAAGTAACATGATACAAAATTAATGTCAAGAAATCTATGGCATTCTTATGCACCAATGATGAAATCACAGAAAGAGAAACTAAAAAAACAATCCCATTTACTATCACAGCAAAAAAATTAAGATACCTAGGAATAAACTTAACCAAAGAAGTAAAGAACCTCTCCACAAAAAACTACAGGCCATTGGAAAAAGAAATAGAGGAAAATATTAAAAAGTGAAAGCATATACCTTGTTAATGGATTGGAAGAATTAACATCATCAAAATGTCCATACTACCCAAAGCAATTTATAGATTCAGTGTAATCCACATCAAAATACCAATGACATATTTCACAGAACTAGAACAAACACTCCAAAAGTTTATATGGAACCAAAAAAAGAGCCTGAATAGCCACAGCAATCTTGAAAAAGAAGAACAAAGTAGGAGGGGTCACATGACCAGATTTCAGGTTATACTACAAAGCCACTGTAATCAAAACAGCCTGGTACTAGTACAAGGACAGGCAGATAGATCAATAGAACAGAACGGAGAACCCAGAAATTGACCCAAGACAATATGCTCAATTAATATTTGACAAAGGTGGCAAGAGCATACAGTGGAGTCAAGACAGTCTCTTCAATAAATGGTGTTGGAAAATTGGACAGCTACTTGCAAAAAAATGAAGCTAGACCACCAACTTACACCATACACGAGAATAAACTCAAAATGAATAAAAGATTTAAATGTAACTTGTGAATCCATAAAAATTCTAGAAGAAAATGCAGGCAACAAAATTTCAGACATCGCATGCAGCAGAATTTTCACTGATACAACACCTAAGTCAAGAGAAACAAAGAAAAAAATGAACACATGGGACTTCATCAAACTAAAAAGCCTCTGCACAGCAAAAGAAACAACCATCAAAATGGAAAGAGATCCCAATATATGGGAGACCGCAATCGCCAAAGATGCATCAGATAAGAGGTTAATTTCCAAAATATATAGAGTGCTCATACAACTCAACAAAAGGAAGACAAAGAACCCAATTAAAAAATGGACAGAGGACCTAAATAGACACCTTTCCAAACAGGACAAACAAATGGCCAAGAGACATATGAAGAAATGCTCAATATCACTAATTATCAGAGAGATGTAAATTAAAACAACTATGAGGTATCACCTCACACCTGTCAGAATGACCACCATCAACAAATCATCAAACAACAAGTGTTGACGAGGATGTGGAGAAAAGGGGACTCTAGTACACTGCTGGTGGGAATGCAGACTGGTGCAGCCACTATGGAAAACACTATGGTGTTACCTCCAAAAATTATAAATTGAACTGCCATTTGACCCAGTGATCCCACTTCTGGGAATATACCCTAAGAAACCTGAAACACTAATCAGAAAGAATATATGTACCCCTATGTTAAGAGCAGTGCTATTTACAATAGCTAAGATGTGGAAACAACCCAAGTGGATAAAAAAACAGTGGTACATATACACAATGGAATACTATGCAGCTGTAAAAAAGAAAGATCTCTTATCCTTTGAGATGGCATGGAATGACCTGGAGAGTATTATGCTAAGTGAAACAAGCCAAGCAGAGAAAGACAAATATCACATGATCTCACTTATTTGTGGAATATAATGAACTAAACAAACTGATGAACAAAATTGACCCAGAGACATAGAGGTGGGTAGAGACTGACAAGCCTCAGAGGAGGTGGGGTTGGGGGGAAAGAAATAAACCACAGAACTTATATGCATGTATGCATAACCAATGGACATAGACAACCAAGCTGGGGATGGGGCGGGGGGAATGGGGAGGAGGGCGTCAATGGGGGAAAAAAGAGAAATATCTGTAACAAAAACAAATTAATTTTTAAAAAAGAAAGAATACTGAAATAACTATTATGATAACAAATACAATTTTGTCTCTTTATTGACTTCTTAAAATATCTATTACAATATACAACCTTATGTTTACATTTTCTTCATATTCAAAACAACTAAGAAAAGCCTTTATCTTCATTGAGAGTGTGTGTGTGAAAACAGGGCTAAACAATCCTATGATTTTAGGACTAAACTATAAATTTAGGACTAAAGTAATGAAAATATTATGTAGTTTGAATAGGGTGTTGTTCTGTTCAAATTTTCTGTGTTTTGTTTTTTGGGTTTTTTTTGCATTGTTTTTAAAAGCAACCAAATGTTTTTCAGGTGCATATTAAGTTACTTCTATAGATTTGTAGTAATAGCCATATCATACAATCGTGGTTTTTGTTTAAATGCCCATGTGAAACTTAGATGATGGTTTAGGTAATAGTGGTCATTTAAATAAAAATACAATACTTCTAGTATATGATTCTGAAGTGTCTCATGCAGAATTTTGCATTCATGAGAATTATATTAAATCTATATTTAAATAATACTACTGTAAAGCTATAATGCTGTGTACTACTAAGGGTAACTGTGGCATCAATTTACTAAGAGCATCTAAATTAAAAAGAGAACAAACAGAATGGAACCGAAACACAGGCAGATGTTGTGTCCTGGTAGTGGGTGCTCAGCGCCCAGCTGCAGTGGAAGCTGAGTCAAACCAGGAGGTAACCCTCGATACTTGAGTTATTACTGCGTGAATGTCCTCCTATAAACCTGATGATTCTGGTGAAGATGCCTAGCACTTCAGGGCCTCTGTGGGGCACAGGTGCAGCTTCAGGAGCAAAAGGACCCAGCACTTAAGGGACCTTGCAGGCCTCAGGTGCAGCATCAGGAACAGAAGGTTCTGGCACTGCAGGGCCTCTGTGGGCCATGGATGCAGCATCAGGAGCAGAAGGGCCCAGTAGTTCAGGGCCTCTGTGAACCATGGGTGGAGCACCACGAGCAAAAGGGACTGGCACTTCAAG